CTTGGTCTGGTGGCTCTAAACGTAGATAGTACAAAAAGGCTTGTAAGGCAAGGTTAATGACATGAGCCATGCAACGAACATGGCCATGTTGCTTAATAAAAGAGCCACCAATGCTTTTATACTCAACTTCAAATACCTCAAGTAATGTATTATTACTTGAAGTATTATTGATGATTATTCCTAAAATCTTATTTATAATACTAAACTCATTACAAATACTAACTAAAGTATTTGATATATTGACTCCAGTATGTGCTCTGTCAAAAGCCACAAGATCGAGAACTTGTGACTCAACCTTCCAATTATTATTGATCCAGTGAGCTATCACACCCAGAAAGGCCTTACAACTCTTACTTGTCCAAAGATTGACAGTAAGGAAAACCTTACTTGAGTTATCTATTAAATTGTTTTTTAGGGAGGTTTTTAGTTCTGTGTATTGATTTAGCAAATCTCTTTTAACCATACTTGCAGAAAAAACTTCAACATCATGCAAGACTTGAATTAATCTAACTAACTCTCGGAAGCTTTCTGATTTGATGGTTGTAAAGGGAAGACTTTTCAATGCAATCTACTTAACCAATGCTTTCCTAAAAACACTTTCATTTGACTGAGGAACTATAGATATAAGATTATCAAAACTGCCTGCCTTGAAGATGTTGATATGATAAATGTTTATAATATAATTGTGCAAGCTAGTAGTGCTACTATAGGTTAAAATAAGATATTTTTCATGAAGACACAGATGATATTTGGCTTTTTGCTTGCCAGATTCTTCAAAAGGTAGTTCAAAAAATACCAATACTGGAGCCTTTTTTTGAGCTGATATACAGATACGACTAGTAGAAACTATTTTGTAAATATGATTATTAAATATAATAAAATTATATAAATTTTTATGTAAAAAAAATTTGAAGATATTATTTTATTTGTTAATAAATAAATTACAGGCCTTTCTCTCTTTATATTTATTCTTTAACTGTACTGATGATTTTTTGCATATAACGATCATGCATAATGCTTGCACATAACATTTGCATATAACAATCGCACATAACGTTTGTGC